ACTAATCAAGTTGAGTATCTTTCCATGCATATATTGGCCATCAATGTCCTTACCTGGAAGTTGTCCCACTTACCAATCTTTTCCTGTATGTCCCTGTCCTTTGTATCCTCTTTAAGAAAGCTGTGTCTACTACAAAGTCACTTTGATTCTGCCTTCAAGTGCTGCTCTGTCGTGTGTTAAGTTGTGGTAAATGCCTGATTGATCTGTAGGGTTTTTTCATTTCTTTTTCTGCACCTATCTTAATTTATGTTGGTTTATATTAAGTACCTGTAGATTAAAGCTAATCTAGTTGCCTGAAAAATCCTATGAGAGCATTTCTTAGGGTTACTGAATTTGTAGATGTTACCTTTTCTTTCATGGTCTGGGAGAAGGAGGAGCAAAGTGGGCTTCACTTTTAGAAGTAAGAATCGGCCTGTGTAGTTTAGCCTTTCTTACTTTATTTCCTTTGGGAAGCAACTGCCTGAAGAAGCACACACCTTACCCTCTGCATAAGTTCTACAAGGTACTTCAAAGAAAATGAGTGAGTGCATTTGTCTAATTCTAGTGTTAAAAACTGGGCTTATTGTTGCTGCATACTTAGGCCATGGCTTCCAACAGTTTTATCAATAATAAGTTGCACATCTGATATTTAATATGCTTGATTTTCCTTTCTCTATTGATACAGAAATTGTGGAGATGTTATTAGTACTGCTTGTTAGGAACCTAAAACCTGATGTGGTCCTGAATTTCATGACATGAATGTATATTTACTTCTTTCTTTTCAAGAAGACTAAGTTCTTTCATGCTATTACTTCAACCTGTCACCATTAAGGAGAGCTCTGTTCATGAGGAACAGTATAATGTAATGGTTATGGAGAACTTTTTTCTATTTACTAGTCATATGGCATTGGACAATTTACTTAATCTATCTCTGAAGCTGTAAAATTTATTATTAAAATGGGGACAGCAGTACCACAAAGAGTTATTGTAAACATTAAGTGAGCTAATACGCAGTGAAGTCATTTAACAATGACTAATGTCTAGAAAGTCTTCAATAAATGGTCAGTGTTACTGTTGCTATTATTTTCTTGACATTTAACATTGTTCCAGGCACAAGATGGGTATTCAGTAAGTGTGTAATACCAGTGGATTAAACCAAATTGCAATAGCAGACCTTTCATGGCTCCATTGTGTTGACAAACTGTCAGTTAGCTTGTCTCGTATCTCCTGATTTCTTTTGTAGAGACCTACACTTATAGACAAGGGGTAGCTTTTCAAGCTGTCTGTGACCCACACATTTGCATTCTATTTACATTATAGGTATTTCATTATTTATACTGGCAGGTGTGTAGGAAGGATATCATAAAGTACTTTGGAAGGGACCTAACAGGACATCATTGAGTCTTTAGACTGCTTTAAGAGAAAGAGTTTCCACTACTATTGTGGACTGCTGGACTGTGCTGGATTGTTTTGCTGAATTCATACACCTATAGTATTTAGATGCCAATGGAATACCCATCTCTGACAGGACTAAATAAAAAAAGGATACAAAGGAAGAATCATTTTGTATCCATATATGCAGAATAGTTAGGATAGATATACAGCTACTTTCACTTAATTCAATGAGAAGAAAGATTTATACTAATAGTGTTTGGACAGGATATCATGTCTGCATCTTGTACTATGATAACCACTAAGAAGATAACAATGTATCATGTATTAATTATTGAAACTGTCTTATTAATCAGTTTTGAAATTGTCTTATTGCTACTTGTTTCTCAATAAAATAAAAAGAAAAAAGAGAAAGGGTTTCATTGCAGGGTGCCAAAGTGTGTGCCTTGGGTTTTGCATTATATTTTTAATCAATTTTTGGGCTCACGGACTTTAGGAGATCACTCACTGCTGTCTGATTAAGATGAAATAATTGACACATACCCTTCAAGGTCTGAACTTCACGTGGCATGCTTTTCCACTATTCTTTTATTTTGGTAAGAAAGACTTTCAGCTGTCTGTAACTGAATACCTGGCACTTATTTTTCTGACAGAACCAGGCACTTGATGGTGGGCATTGGTTGGTTTTAATTCAGAGGCGTCGTGTGCTGTCAATCCAGCCTGGCTTCACTAGACTTTGCTGGCCTTTCTGACACAGCTGCTTGGTGGCCACGCTGGCTGTGTGGCAGCATCAGACCCCTTTTCTGTTCAGTCAGGGACTCTACTCAAGCTCCTCATGAAAACAAAATCAAATTGTTCCTGAAAGCTTAAGAACTGAACTTCTTAGCCCTAATTACAGAGACTGTAAAAACAAATTCCGTGGTGGGAAGGAGGTGAAGGAGAGGGTTAGAGATGGACTTCACAGAGCCTGGCCACAGGGCCAGTCATGAGTGTGCTTTCTCTGTCCAGTAGTCACTTTCTTAGCATTTTGCACTACAGGCTCCAATACAAAAGTCATTCATGCATACTCCATCTAAGGACAGTTTCTTTTGTGTTTGCTGTATATTAACAACTTGAGAGTTTTGTATTTTCATCTTTAATTAGCATATGCTAATTATCATTAGCATAATACTACCAAAACATATTTTTAGTACATTTATTATTTATCCAAATGTAGGTAACTTTAAAAATTATTGACAATATATATATATTTTTTAATTAACAGGATTAGAACCCACTCTACATTAACCGAAAATGTGCTTTCTCATAAAGTACAATTTGACGGTAGGATCATATCAAGGTAATTGTACTTATTAAATGTTTAAATTCTACACTTATAATGCAAATAATAAGATTAGACAGATTTTCTCATTTAAGTGAAAAATGTGAATTTAGAACATATGTAGCTCCAGGACCTGGGTTCGTTCCCCGGTATGGCATGCCTTGCCTGCCCAGGAACCCAGGTATACTGTGCCAACCACTGAAACTGGGTGTGGTGGTGCACGCTTGTAATCCCAGCACTGGGGAGACTGAGACAGGAGGATCACTATGAGGCCAAGCTGTGTAGAGAGACCCTGTACCAAATAAGGAAATAAATAAGAGATTAAAAAAATGCAGATAATAAAAAGCTCTAAGAAAAATGTTTTAATTAGGAGTTCCTTAAGAGATTTGAAGTGTTGGGCATGGTACTACACAACTGTAGTCACAGGACTGAGGAAGCCACGGCAGAAGGATTGCTGGGAATTCTAGGCCAGCCTGGGGTACCATAGTGAGTTCCATACCAAGTTAGACTACAGAGTGAAAACCTGTCTCAAAAAAACAAAAGCTCAAAATGAAAAAATGCCCCCCAAGTCCATAAAACAATAACAACAAGAAAAGTGATTTTAAAAGTATTTTAGGGCCGGGGAGCTGGCTCAGTGGAATAAGCGCTTCCCTGGCAAGCGCAAGGGCCTGAGTTCAATCCCCGGTTCTGCAAAAAAAAAAAAAAAAAAAAAAAAAAAAAAAAAAAAAAAAAAAAAAAAAAAAGAAGTATTTTAGGGCTGGTGAGATAGCTCAGTGATCTAAAGCACCTGCTTAGGAAGCTTAAACAGGCACAAGAACTGAGATTTGATCCCTGACATCACATGCTGCTCCAGCCCTGCCCCCAGGGTGAGCTGAGCCAGCCACAAAAAAAAAAAAAAAAAAAAAAATTAACATGGTGACAAACACTGGTAATCCCAGCACTCTGGGAAGTTGAGGAAGGAGTTTTAACATTGCCCAGATAATGTAGTAGTTCAGGGGACACATTGTTTTAAAATAAGAAATATAAAAAGCGGTAGGAATATAGCTCAGTGTGAAAGCCCTTGGATTCAATCTCCAGTAGCACAAAACAAAGCAGTGTTTTAAAAAGAAACTTAGAAGTAAATTTTTGAAAAGACATGCATTACTGCTGTAAAGTTCTAAACTATTTAAAATTAATTTTTACATATTATGCTTAATTTAATTTTAATAGTTTTTGTTAACAGTAGATATTGATAATGGAGAAGATGACAAGGGAGATGATTTTTTAAGCTTATTGCCTCAGCCTTATAAACTTTCGGTAATACATAATTCTACTTGATAGTTTTTGTGTATATTTCTGGTAAAATATGTATTTTAAAATTGTAATACTTGTTTGGCTATTTAAAACCTTTTTATGACAATGAAAGATAACAATTACATATCATTGAGTTGCTTTTATTTTGTGGCCAGTTCAGCCCACCGTAGGGGTGGGATTGGCACAGCATGTGGTGCCGGGGATCAAATTGGGGTCCCTGTGCTTTGCCTAAGCTTGCCTAAGCAGGTGCTGTAGACCACTGGGCTATCGCACCAGCCCCTTTGAGTAGCTTCTTACAAGCTAAAGACATTTTAAGGTCTTCTCCATTTATAAAATGGAGGTTAAATTAGTAGCACATATTGTGACATATTCATATTGATATCTGAGTGAAGTAATGTTTTTTCTTCAGCAAAATCTAGTTTGACACTTCAGCAAAGCTGTGCTGTGTTTCCTATAGCTATCCATATCCCACACTCAAGGGTTATGTTTCCCACTTTTAGATGCTCATTTTTAGCTTATTATTATTTAATTTAGAATTGTTCTATTTGAAAATATTTGATATTGCACTTTTTCTAGAAATGGACGTGATGCCTGCAGAGAGCTGATTGGGTTCTTTTTTACTCATGATTGGTCCCTTACGGTATATGAATACCGACAATTTGGAAAAAATAGGTATGTGGTGAAACACAAACTCTTGAGATGATGATGTCTGAGAGAAGTTGAATAACTGTGTTTTTCATTAATTTCTAGAACGAATGTGCTTCCATTTATTCCAAAAAATGTTTATAGTCATCAGTGTGGACGAAGAAAAGGAAAACAATACCAAGTTGATGACTTTTATGTTGTAAGTTAAGTGTGTATATGCACAAAACATGTAATAGCAGATGTGAGGCTCAGTGGAATCCTCATGTGGAAGGGGAAGCAGGGCTTTTTGTCTTCACTTTCTCTCTTCTCCTTTCTCCTGATCAGGAACATTTGTGTGAGTGGGATAAAGGTTGATGCTTTTCAAGGCAGTTCTGCTTGTACGGCCCAAATCCCAGTGTTCTGAAAGTAGGCAGAGGATCATTTTATATAACACCCCTCTTGTGTAATGTAGGTTGTATCCAAGAAAGGTTATCTCAGTATTTTTGCAGGCTCTTTAAAACTGTATTACTGATTAAATGGTTATCTCCATAACAATAGGATGGTGCTCCATCTAGAGCAGGCTCTCTCTCTCTCTGAGACTGCTTGGTTTCTTTCAGGCAGGGCCTGTTGGTCTCTGGAGCAGGTAGTCTATCCTTTTTGTAATATTTGCCTCATGGAAAACTCATGTGTTGTAACAGATTTCTCATGTGTGGGTGGATTAAAGATAATGGTACAGTTTGTATGGGGCTCTGAAATTCTATTTTTCATTTTTTAAATTTTTTGAAGTGTTGGGTATTGAACCCTGGATCTTGTCTGTGCTAGGCAAGTAAGTTGCCACTGAGCTACTCTGCCAGTCACAGTATTTGGAAATTTTGAAATACAAAATTCACATACTTTAACATGAGTAAAATGAAGCCCTATCCATAGCAATCAATCATGCGATATATACATAAAACTTGCGTCTAAATGGGAGGAACAATGAACTAGTTCCATAAGGTCAAAGATTTCCGTAGAAAGTGCTGCCTGACCATGACTAAGCATTAACTTGGTTGAGGTAGGATCATAGATGAGGATAAGGAACAACTTGGAGGTAAAGGGGACAGCTGGTATAAAGAACAAAAGCAAGAAAGCACATGGACTATTTGGAGAACTGAAAGTAGTTTAGTCTCATTGGAATAGAAGACTCAGTGTAGGGGTTGTAGGGGTGAGCAGAGTTTTTTAAACTAGTGTTATGTTAAAGCATTACATGAAATGCATAAAGAATCAGTGAAGGACATGTAGGTAGGAGAAGTGACATGATGGAAATACGTCACATGGATGCAGTGAGTTCAAGATTTAGTGCACAGTGACTGGATTGGATTGATGTGTTAATTGCAGACAGATATTGTGGCAACCTGATTAAGCCAGTGGTTGTGGCTATAGAGTCAATTAGAAAAAAAATTCTTTGGAAGGCAAAATCCGTAAGATTTGATAACTAATAAAGGAAGGAGTGAAGGACAAAGAAGCACTTGGCATCTTAACGTTGGATTAGATACAAATTATATTTGTTACTCCATATTGACTCTTGGATCTGGAGAAAATCAGCTCTGGGTTTTATTTTACAAGCTGAAGAAAGCAAGTTTAGAAGGTTACTGCTACCTCTGAGTTACTATTTCCAACAATTTAGTGTAACTGATGTTTTATTATTACTGCTCCTATTCCATATTACTTAAGTCAAATGTGGAAATTTGCTTAGTTATATGATTTCCATGGAAGGAAGGAGGGGAGTTAGGAAAGAAGTAATGAAGGAAGGAAGAAAGGAAGAAAGAAGGAAGACATAACTGCATGCTTTGTGTGTAGTGGAAATTGTAAAGGCAACATCCAGGAAACATACTGTAACAGTGTAAGCAGTCTACAATTTATTATTGGAAATTTCTATTCATAAAATGTAAGTTTTTTCTTCCTGCTACCAAAAACAAATGTCTCTTGACTTTTTCTCATATAAAAGCCCTCTCTGTTTTCCAACTCTTTCATCTCTTGCCTCTCCCCATGTTCCACTTTTAAAATATAGAACCACTCACCCTGACTGAATCTTCTTTTTTTGTTGGAGGAGCAAGATTTTCTTCTGCTGTCCATATAATTTTATAGAACTTATCTTTTCATTTTCATATACTTCATCCATATTTTCCTAAATATACCTTCAAGACATTTTGATGACAGCCATAAAGACAATACTCATGAATATGCACACATACCCATAGACACGGCTGAGTAAGGTGCACCCACGTATGTATTCACTCATATTTAACATGAGATGCATAATACATGAAGGTATCCATATGCACACATTCATATGTCTAACACTCCTACATGTGTCAGAGTCTCTTCATTTGCTCAGCACAATCCTTACTTACAGGAGACCCTGAAACTTCCCGTCCTCAGTCTAGAAGAGCCCTTATAAACTGCTGTATACCTCATAGTCTGCCTGGGTTAGTATGATCTAAGTGTGGGATAATATTTCATTTTATCACTCATAATTCTAGACCTCCCGGTTGGAATTGTAAGTTCTTCCTATCTTCCCTGACTCGTCCTCTTTCCTATCCTTAATAGCATTTCTTTCAGTTTTTGTTTGCTTCCTGATACCAGAAAAATCACTGATTTCTTTCTTAAAAGCCTTCCTAACTTTGGGTTGTTTATCAGGAAGACCCAGAAGATTAAAGAGCGGTCAAATCTGTTCCTCTATTCTTTTCACTCTTTTACTAGGCTCAATTTTTCTTCAGCATTTCTATTATCTGACATTATTTTATGTAGTTACTTGCTTCATCTATTAGCCCTGTCGGTCTTGATACTGTAACTCCTTGAAGGCAAGGGCTCACTTATGAGTGACTACCATATTTGGATCATCTTGAAGATTGATGAATATTTAGTAGGCACCAAGTAAATAGATTTTAAATATGTTTAAAAAGTATTTTAAACATGACTGCATATTTAATAAATTATAAATTTATTACATTGTTGCAGTAAATTATTAATAATAATTTTTATAAGCTATAAATTTTATGAAATGCCCAAACAAATACATTCAAAACACTAAGACCAAGAAAATATCTGTATCCAGCTTCTTCTTCTTTTTTTTTTCTTTTTTGGCGGAACTGGGGATTGAACTGAGGTCCTTGTGCTTGCCAGGGAAGCACCTATTCCACTGAGCCATCTCCCCAGCCCCCATGTATCCAGCTTCTTTGTCAGTGGAGACTTCAGGAAAGAATATATGCATGCAAAAGGGCCATGTTAGATATAAAGTTAGCTCCAGTTTGATTCACTGTTAACTGGTTTCCTAAAATGCCTTATCCTAGACATCAGTGAGGTGAAATATTTGCCCACTAGGGAAAAATTCAAGCCATTGCATTTGAAGTCTAAATAAATATTTGCAAGATTTATAGTAAAAAATAGTTGCATTTTGACTAAAATTGAGAATTCTTTCCTTTTTAAATTTCCAACTTACCTTTGTAAAAAGGGAAACATCTACCTTTTCTGGAAAATTAAAAATGTCATTCTTATTTGTTTAATATTATCTTTAATATGATCATATCCACATCTGTAGAATGACACCTTTGTTTTGGGAGGTACACATCTAATTTTAGTCTGTGGGATAAGTGGCCAGGAAAATTGTTATATTTTCACTCAATTAAATTTTCAGCCTAATAAATTATTGTGATCATTTTCTTAGAGATATAACAATGGCCTAACCTCTTACCATAAAGGAATTAGGCAGTGATAATCTATCCTTTTATTTTCTTGGTAAGTTTTTTTCCTTTTTTTGATGTATTTGGTACATGGTCTCACTACACAGCTAGGACTCATAGTGATCCTCCTGTCTCAGCCTCTCTAGCTCTGAGATTGCAGGCATGTGCCACTATGCCTGGTCTCAGTTGTTGGCTCAGCATGCCTGCGGGGAGGCTGGCATGGCATGTGGTGCTGGGGATCAAACTCCGGTCCCTGCGCTTGCCTAAGCAGGCACTTAGTCTGCTGAGCTATCTCACAGGCTCTCTTTCGTAAGTTTCTTGATATTTGATTACACATATAAATCTAACTATTATTGAGGAAGGTGATAGCTTTGCTCATTTTCAATTGCATATTGATTATTTTTTGTTTTTCAGTGGTATAGATTTAACTATTCATGGTCTTGCATGATGTACTTATATTACCATTTAATACATAAAAATATTGCAGATAATATGGGCCTCAAAGCTTTGGGCCAAGTTCAAAATACAACTTTCCTATGTTAATGACTCTTCCTTGATTTACTTACAGTATCCACTTTGGAGCTTAATTCCCCCCGCCTCCAGGCATGATGCACGATGTCTTTAACCACTAGAAAGATGCTAGTGCGTAAAACAGGCAGAAGATCTTCTCTGAAGTCTTCCCAATTTTTTTCCTCATAGAAAATGAAATTATGTAAGCAGCATGCTGAAGCAAAGAGGGAGATGCTGCAAGGTGGAAGCTATCAGCGAAGGAGCTCTGCTTGCTTCTCAATTCATCTGGCTCATTAACTTGGCAGATCTGGAAGCCATCTGCAGTCTTAGTTGGGAAGCTCCATTGCTTTCTTGGTTGAGAAATATTTTAAGAATTACCCCTATAATTGGTGTTGAGGAAATCGAATTTAAAACATGTCTTCTGCCAACCTCCAAAACCTCATACCAAAATAGTA